TCGCTCCTGCCGCGTTTCCCTCCCGTGCCTCAGTTTCCCTCGTGCGAGCCGCCCGGGTCGGGCCGGTCGATGTGGGCCGGGGCCCGTGGGCAGCCTCCGCCCGCGCCTGAGCAAGGCTGCCCTCCCTCGGGGCCGTGGGGCAGATGCATCCCGCAGGCTGCGGGGCTCGTGCACTGCGCTGTGGGCACCGTGTGAGCGCCCCCGGCTGAGGCCCGTTTGTGCCCTGCCGAGTTTCTCTCGCCTGCCCCGTGCCTCAGTTTCCCCACGTTGCGAGTCCGTGACAGCCACGTGGGTCGCAGTGCCCCCACGAGAGAGGCGCTTTGGCTTGCAAGGATGTGACCCGCCCTGGACTCAGAGCTGCCTCCGCGTCACGGCGACGGGCACATCGGGACTTCGCAGGATTCTGCTCCTCGCGTTGCCATGGGCAGGTGTTCTGGGGAGTTAAAGCCGGAGAGTCTAGAGGGGCAGTGGAGGAGCATTTGGGGTTTCCCAGCCAGTGGAGGGGGCTCCAGAGCTGCTCACTTGTGTGCTGAGGGGGTTTGGTCCTTCCCCCGGGAAGCAGAAATCACAGGGGGAGGAATGTGGTAAAACCATTGCTGCTCCCCACAATAGTCTGGTGCCACCGCCCACCCCCTGTACTATGGTGACTTCTGCTTGCCTCTGCAGCGGTGAAGGCCAAAGGGAAGGGCTTCGTTAAGGAGGAGATGAAAGGCCCCGAGGTGTGCAAGGACCCGGTGCTGCTCACCACACATGCCATGGGTGTAAATTTCTACAAACAGGGCCCGGAGGTGGCACTGAAGGATGACTCTGAATATCCAGACTGGTGAGTGGTGCCTGTACCTGCCCTCTTGCAGCCACTCGAGGCACATGGAGACTAGTGGTTAGAACAGGGGACTGGGAACCAGGACTGCTGGTTCCCATTGCTGGCTCCCTGCAAGACGTTGGACCTAACTGTTCCAGTCTCAACCATGGGGTTAAGTCTGGGTGATACAAAACATTGTGTCCCACAGCTGAAAGTCTGAAAAGAGCTGAAAGAGCAAGGTGGTGATTAATTCTGGTTGTACATTCTCTGGGACAGGGACTAGGTTTTCTGTTGTATGGTTGTGCAGTCCTAGAACCGTGGGGCTCTAGGCCATGAATGGTGCTCTTAAGTGCTACTGTAATACACCTAATAATGTACAGCCCTAGCACCCGGGGGTGCTGGAGCCCTACTGGGGCTCGTAGGCACTACCATAATACACCAAAAAAAATGTACAACACCTAGCATAGTAGGCTCCTGGGTCACAACTGTGACTCCTAAGTGCTACCAAAACAGAATCACAGAACACTAGAACTGGAAGGGACCTTGAGAGGGCATCGAGTCCAGTCTCCTGCCCTCAAGTCAGGACCTGGTACCACCTAGAATAGATCATCCCTAACCTGCTCTTGAACATCTCCAGAGTTGGCGATTCTACAACCGCCCTGGGCAACTTATTCCAGTGTTTCCTAATGTCTTTCCTAATGTCCAGCCTAAACCTCCCTTGCTGCCCATTGCTTCTTGTCCTTTCCTCAGAGGCCAAGGAGAATAATTTTTCCCTTTCTCCTTATGACACCCTTTTAGATACCTGAAAACCGCTATCATGTCCCCCCTCAGGCTTCTCCTTTACAAACTAATCACTTGGACTTGTTTAAACAAAATACAGGGCTATGTAGCACTTTAAAGACTAACAAGATGGTTTATTAGGTGATGAGCTTTCGTGGGCCATCATCTAATAAACCATCTTGTTAGTCTTTAAAGTGCTACATAGCCCTGTATTTTGTTTAAACAAGTCCAAGTCTTTCAGTCTTCCTTCATAGGTCGTGTTCTCTAGACGTTTAATCGTGCTTGTTGCTTTTCTCTGGACCGTCTCCAATTTCTCCACATCTTTCTTGAAATGTGGTGCCCAGAACCGGACACACAACTCCCATTGAGGCCTAATCAGTGCAGAGTAGAGCAGAAGAATGACTTCTGGTGTCTGGCTCACAACACTCCTGTTAATGCAGCCCAGAATCATGTTTGCTTTTTTTGAAAGTGTCACACTTTTGACTCCCATTTACCTTGTGGCCCACTATGACCCCTAGATCCCTTTCTGCAGTACTCCCTCCTAGACCGTCACTTCCCACTCTGTATGTGTGAAAAGGAGTGTTCCTTTCTAAGTGGAGCACTTTGCATTTGTCCTTATTAAACTTCATCCTATTTACCTCAGACCATTTCTTCAGTTTGTCCAGAACATTTAGAAATAATAAACAAGGAGAGCTGTCACCCCCTCTACAAACGTATCCCCCATGCTGGCATACCTACACTTGAGTCAGTATCTGTGTCTAGGGCTCCCCTCCAAGGGCTGCACCCTGAGGGTACGTCCACACTGCATCCCTAGTTCGGACGAGGGATGCAAATGGAGACGACCGAAGTAGCTTTTTGAGGAGTAACTTTAGTTCGGACTAAGGGCTTTAGTCCGAACTAACGTGTCCTGGCGTGCACTTCCTGGTTCGAATCAGCTGTGATTTGAACTAGCACGCTGGCGAGATCATATTAATGAAGCGCGGGATATTTCAATCCCCGCTTCATTAACTACTTCGGTCGTCTCCATTTGCATCCCTACTCCGAACTAGGGATGCAGTGTAGACGTACCCTGACACTGCTTAGTCCCATGTGTTTGTGGTATCAGGCCCTGGGCAGGGGTCCTTCCTCCTCCATTAGCCAGGGCTGACCAGCACAGCTGGGCAAGTAAGGGGAGTTTCCAGTTTGCTGGTAACTCTCAAAAAGAGAAAAAAATATTTCAGATGGAACAAAACATTTTGGTTTGATCGTGGCTGTTTCTTATTTTTTGTTATTTAATGCAAGGCAAAGCTTAAAATGTCACCCCGCTTTGAACCAAAATAATTTTGTTTCAAAAAGGTAGAAATGAAATGGAATAGTTCTTGCCAGCCCCAGCGATGTGGTGAAATTTGCGAGTTCAGTGTAGCTGAATCTGCATTTTTCACTGAAAAAGCTTTGTGCAATAAGTGTGGCCAGGCTCTGGTGACCACAGCTAGCCCCGGGGCGCTTTAAATGATAGGGCATGCTGAGTGGCAAGTGATTGCGTGAGGCAAGGAGGCAGCCAGAACCTCAGGGCCATCCCATCACCTGGGTCAGGATTAAGGGAGTCCACTCTCCTATGCTTTGGTCCCCAGGCTTTTCCAGATGCACATTGGCCCGCCCAAGAAACTGGAGGACCTCGACCCTGAGACACTCGAGTACTGGAGGCACCTGCGGAAGCTCAACACCTGGCACCGCAACAAACTGAGCAAGAACAAGAGGTTTTAGGTGGGGCTTGCGTGGTGCCACCCCTGTCCCTTCTGGGCCTCTGAACCAGGGGAGGATGCTGCACAGAGGTTCATGGGGGGATTTGGACCTTTCCTGTGAGCTGGGGAAACAGTCACAGCTGGGCAGATCCCTTGAGCTGGGATCAGCTGGCATCTCTGCCCGGCCAGGGTCTCTTATTTCTCCTTTAAATACTGATCACAATAAATCACTGGCCGTAACTGGACAGTATTGGTGTGTCTGTGTTGTTACCAGTGTGGAGCGTTTTCTGTGGCATGGGAACAGAGCACTTGCAAACCCAGGGATCAAATCTTTATGCATCTCCCTCTCTGGGGCGTTGCTGGGCTGTTTGCTCCCTTCGAGGGCTGAATTGGGGTAGCTGTGGGGGATATAAGTAGTGGTACCCTCCCAAGCTCTGCCCACAAACCGAGCTCCAGCCATTTGATACTAGTGGCTCTTCATAATATAGTGGTTTCTTCTCTTGCTTTGATCAATTGGTTGGCATTAGACTTCAGAGTGAATGCCCCATTAGGTTACATACCTGCTTGGCAACAGATACTTGCCATAAGCTCTTCCATTTAGCAGAGAAAAGTATGATACAATCCAATGGCTGGAAGCTGAAGCTAAGCAAAATCAGGTGTAAACTTTTAACAGTGAGGTTGGTTAACCAGAGGAATAATTTCTGGTTAAAAGATTCTCTGTCCCTGCCAACTCATAAGAACATAAGAACGGCCGTACTGGGTCAGACCAAAGGTCCATCTAGCCCAGTAGCCTGTCTGCCGACAGTGGCCAGCACCAGGTACCCCAGAGAGGGTGGACCGAAGACAATGATCAAGCGATTTGTCTCCTGCCATCTCTCTCCAGCCTCTGACAAACAGAGGCCAAGGACACCATTTTATCCCCTGGCTAATAGCCTTTTATGGACCTAACCTCCATGAAATTATCTAGCTTCTCTTTAAACTCTATTATAGTCCTAGCCTTCACAGCCTCCTCTGGCGAGGAGTTCCACAGGTTGACTACACGCTGTGTGAAGAAGAACTTTCTTTTATTCGTTTTAAACCTGCTACCCATTAATTTCATTTGGTGTCCTCTAGTTCTTCTATTATGCTCCTCTGCTCCAGGGGCATCCTGGGGGATGGGCAGCAGTGTTCCCTCTAACTTTTCCCACCCATGAGAGGAGTGAATTGTGCACCAATGTGGAAGTGATGTGCGAGACGGAGGGGATGTACGACACACCTTCATATCTGTGCACATACAATTAAAGTGGTGGGGGTGGGGCCAAAGAGATAGTGTAGGAGGAGGCTCAGGTCTGGGACAGAAGGTTGGGGTGCTAGGGCTGTGGCTGGGGGTGCAGGCTTTGGAGTGGGGCCAGAGAAGAGGAGCTCAGGGCTGGAACAAGGTTGGGGTGTGAGGGCTCTAGCTGGGGATACAGGCTAGGGGCTGGGGCCAGGTTCAGGAAAGGTTTTGGGGTGAAGGAAGGGACTCCAGGGCTATTGTGATGAGCAAGGACCCCCCCAGCTCTCTCCTTGCAACAGCACCCCTGTGTGGGGAAACACCCAGGGGCTGGGTGCGGGCTGAGCCGAGCTGGAATGAGGTCCTGTTGGATGAGAGACCGGGATGAGGCCAGATGGGGTGGGGCACCGCAGCCTAGCTACTGGGCCTGCTGCAGGATCAGGACCGGGGTTGGGCCACCACAGCCAGATAGGGGCCAGGGCTAGGCTGGCTGGAGGCCAAGATCGGTCCCTGGCTGGATGAGGGTCCAGGGTGGCCTCTGCTGCATCAGGATCGAGATGAGGAGCCAGGTCCAAATCGAGGCTGCTATGGCCAGATCAGGCCTGGACCCGAATTGGGGCTGGGCCCTGGGAGGCGCGGCCCGATGGAGGCTGAGGCTGAACCCGAGCTGCCGCAACTGGATGCAAGCTGCGGCTCTCCCACCACCCTGCAGCAGGATCTGCTGGGGCACTGCAGCTAAGCTGCCACAGCTGGATGGGGGCTGGGACCTGGGCAGATGGGCCAAGGGTCCCTCCCTCACTTCCCCCCTCGCTGCAGGATCAGGGCTGGCCCCAGGATGTCACAGCTGGATGGGGACCCCGGGCCTTGCAGCTGGGTTGCTGTGGCCAGAGGAGCCGAGGCCACTCACAGGAGCCAGGTCAGGACCACAACTTCCTATGGCAGGGTCCTGGCTGGAGCCCAGCTGGTTGGAGGGCAGGCTAGTTGGGTGCTAGGTGTGGGGCAGCCCTTCCACGGCTGCCACGGGTCCCTGGTCTGCGCAGCCTCCTTGGGCTCCTGCATGATGCTAAATAGCTGCGTGACCGCTCCGCCATGCAGCTTCCCGGGATCTTAGGTGGGCGGAATAGATCACAGCCTTCCCTTCGGGCCTTCGTTTAGAAATGTAGAAAAAATGGATGAGACTTAGCAGAGCCCCTAGGCATGGCACGCTGCTGGCTGTGGGGCAGCACGTGGAGTAGCAGACGCACGCCCAGCTTAGGTGAGGAGCGTTCGGTAGGGGCTGAACCCCCAGGTTTGTCCCCTTCGTGGCTGCCTATGAGCCCAAAGAGTGCCGCCACCGCTCCTTTCAGCAGAGCGCCCTCCACCTCCCCTTGGCCAGAGGCTTTCCCTGCAGCGCCTGTACCCAGAAGCAGGGCTTGAGATGAGCGAGCCACCCTGGTTTCCCCTCCTCCGTTATGAAGTCTGCCATGGACCATCTTCCCCTGTAGCCTGTCTGCAAGTCAGAGCCATCCCCTGAGCCTCGCAGCGGCCGCCTCACCCGTCCTGTGAAGGGGACGGTCCCCCGTCCTGAGGTTAGCCCACAGGGCCCAGGGCGACCGGGGGGCCTGGAGCCTCAACCCATGGGGGTCTCAGGAAGCGGAGCAACTCGGCTGGGAAATGGAGGCAGAGTGGAGCAGGCTGCTAGGTCAGTCATGATGAGTATGGGAGGGCCGGCCCCTTGCTGTTGCCCCCCACAAGGGCCCCAGGTAATCGCTTGCGGGAGGGGCTTCAGGAAAGGGTTAGGCAGGGGTGGGGTTTGTGGGGAAGGGTGGAGTGGGGAGGAGGCAGAGCAGGGGTGGGAAGGGGCGGACGGGGGGGGTTGCCCCGGGGCCTGGTCCCCCATAAGAATGACCCTGCCAACAGTGGCCTCTACCAGAGCTTCAGGGGGAGCGTTCAGAACAGTAACTATGGAGTGACCCCCTCCCCCAGCCCGGCTTGCACTTCTACAAGTCAGAGGTCTAGGGTGCCCCAAGCGTGGAGTCGTGTCCCTGCCTCACTGGGCTGACAGCCAGGGATGGACCTGTCCTCCAGGAGCATACGCAGCTCTGTTTGAACCCACTTACGCTTTTGGCCATCGCAGCCCCCCAGCAGTGAGTTCCAAGGGGAGTCCAGCAGTACGGGCAAGCACTGGCTCTTCCTCCTATTAAGCCTGTGGTTGATTAATTTAATTGGGTTATTTATTTTCATGATTTTACAGATGTCGCGTCCCTTAGTCGGCTCTTTTTTTTTAAGATGAACGGCCCCAATCTCAGTCTGTCTCCTCGCCTGGAAGCAGTTCCATGCCTTGATCATCGCTGGGCCTTCCCCGGTTCCACCCGAGTCTTTCTGAGATGGGGCAGCCAGAACTAGACTCAGTATTCAAGGGGCAGGTGCATCAGGGATTTGTAGTGGGGCATTATGATGATCTTTTCTGTCTTAAGTTATCCTTCCCTACTAGTCCCTAGCAAATCCTTAGGCCTTTGGTACCGTGTTCTGTGCCTTGTGTGATGGTTTGGAGCTTGTGTGAAAGAGCCTGCAAGGAACTGGAAGCAATGGATGACATTTGTCAGCATCGTTGGCAGGTCCTAGCGTGGGTCATGGGGCATAGCTCTGTGACCAGGCCCTGTGGGTACACCCTGACCTGGAGGATTGATTTCAGACATAAATTTGAATTGTGATTTAAATCAGCAAGCAGGAATCCTTGATTTAAATAATCAAATTGAATCTAGTTTTGCATTTGCACTTTTCAGTTATTTTCCTATGATTCTCATTGGTTGATAACCATTAAAACAGGTTGGTTTGCCATTAAATATAGCCTGTAACATTACGTTTGGTACTAGGTTTTGCTTATCAGGAGGGTACGCTAGGACTATCCATATTTATTTACGCAATTGTGTATCTAAACATACGTTTACTCAGATTCTTAATTTTTTTTCCGTTTTCTATCATTAGAAAACAACGAGTGGTTCATTTCTTATTGGTAGATGATTCATTTTGTTCTCCTTGTTGCAAGCTGCATTTGGGTGGAAATTGGGATTTGATTGAAAACGCACAAACCGAACAGTCCAATCTGTGTATTAAATCCATCCGCTGCCGATACGTTGGCTGCAAACATCAGGCGTCTGATTTTCTGTGACGTGTCAAGCGTGACGTCTGCTGCGCTGTACTGTCTGTGATTTGACGTCAATGATTTTAGGTTGGGGGAAGTTCCGGCCTTTCACCCAGATTGTCCGGGACTTCACATCTAAGAGGGTTTCTTTTCAAACAGGAAAATGCCCTTGATTGAAATGTAAAAGAATTGGACGTTGTGTGATCTGAGCCCCTCCGCCCCAGGCAGTGTATCGAGGATGCTCCCAATCTGCAGGCTGCCCCTGGCTGGGGCTTGCTTGACACAAAGATGCCCCATGGGTTAGAAATGGGGAGGAAGGAGGATGAGCCCCCTGGCTCTCCAGCCTGGTGACGCGTGTGCCCCTCCCCCTGGGCTTTACAAAGCACCTTCCGCCTCCACGAGCTCTCACTTCCTCTTTGGCCCCCCAGCCCTCAGGCTGTGCGGTCTGGTGAGGCTGCTCCGCTCACCTGACCCGGGGAGGGGAGAGAAGTGGATTCACCCAGCCCGCCTCCACCCTGTTCCAAAAGGGAGCGGTGTCTGGGGGTCGGCAGCCAGGGTGCCCATGTTCCATGGGAGGCTCCGCTGCATGATGCTAGGCAAGACCCGTTCCTGCTTCTCCCCAGTGCCGGACCCTACATCTCCCTCCTGGAGCAGAGCCCACTTGGTGGTGCCAACCTGGGCCTCCCCCACTGCTCTGTCAATGCTCTGAGCCCAGCACTCCCAGCCCAGGCCCCCCCAGCTGCGCACAGGAAGTCATATCTCAACATCTCCCCATCAGCTCTTTGTGTGTTTACACTAGAAACCGGTGGGGCAGTGCCCTGGCGTCTGGGGCAAGCTGCAGGGCAGGGAGGGAGGCCCAGGGATCATGGATCATGCAGGATTCTCAGGGAGTCAAGGGCCAAGAGCTGGTGGTGGTGAAGGGGGAACTGTCCTTTGCTGAAGCCCAGGTTCCCATTCAGGCTGGGAGTCACCAAAAGCTCGTGGGGCCAAATCCTCACGGGCATTTTGGTACCTAAGTCCCCTCCGGGCCTCAGCATCTCCAGCCTGTGCTGGTGAGTTGTGCTGGAAGAGCCTCGGGAGGAGCTAAGGTTGGAACGGGGCTGAGCTGGGCTCCCGGTGCATGGCGGGGGATTTTGTGGAATTCACCAACCCGGGTGGCAGGTTAGAGGTTCCTGAAGTGGCCGGTTCCACTTGCTGGCCAGCATCTTGGTCCCAGGGCTCGCTGCATGCACCATGCTGAGCAGTGGACACGCCGGTCGCCCCGCCGTGGGGGCAGCTCCTTGGGAGCAGAGGGGGTTACGCTGGGTGTGAACTGGGTCCCACCGCTGCTGCAGCTACAGCTCAGGAAGCTGCTCACTAAAGCAGAAGTGCCGTGGGGGGGGGGACTTTTGTTTTTAGCACTTGCTTCCTGTGCGTGGGCTTTGGAGTGCGTTGCTGCACGGCTGGGACGCGGGCAGCGCCCCGCCGTGGGGGCAGCTCCTTGGGAGCAGAGGGGGTTACGCTGGGTGTGAACTGGGTCCCACCGCTGCTGCAGCTACAGCTCAGGAAGCTGCTCACTAAAGCAGAAGTGCCGTGGGGGGGGGGACTTTTGTTTTTAGCACTTGCTTCCTGTGCGTGGGCTTTGGAGTGCGTTGCTGCACGGCTGGGACGCGGGCAGGCTCCCTGACGGGCATGCTCAGAACTGCCTGCCCTGGCTCTGAGCAGTGTTGACAAGAGCAGGAGGGCTTCCCCACCGCCCCGTCTGCCGTAAGGTGAGTCCCTTCTGCCAGTGGTGAGTTCGCTGGCTGACCCCATGCTGCTCTCCCCGGCCTCTCAGTCCCCTCCCTGCTTGCCCTCTTCCCATATGCTGCTTGGCCCCAGCAATCTCCTCGTGGCCCCCACCCCACCCCAAGCCTGCAAAGTCTTAATGCCACCCTGCCGGGCATCCAACGCCCAGGCCTGTTGCGACTGGGCCCTAGGCTGGTAAATCCAACAGGGAGGGAGGCAGCCTCCAGTGCAATGCGGTCAGTGTGGTGTAAGGTCCCGGGGGGGGGGGGGGGAGGAGGGATGCGGCAGGACTCCTGGGTTCTATTCCCAGCCCTGCTGGAGAATTCCTGGGTGACTGGGACAAGTTGCTCCTAAGCTCTGGTGAAGTGTCTGAATTGTGGGCCCCACGCTCCTGCTGCCCCCACCAGCATCAATGGAGGGCAGCTCCCCCCGGGTTGCTATGATACTGCTGGAATGTAGGAAAGCAAGAGGCACTCTAGGGCCAGAGGGTCAGCCAGGCACACTGCGCCCCCAGCAGGAGTCGGAACCCCCCCGTTCAGTCTTCACATCTTCAGCCTTAATGAGAGACTCAGCGGCTGATGCCAAGGCAGTGCAGCCTAACAGTCAGAGCATGGGGCTCGGTGCCTATTTGACATACCAGAGCATGACCCAGACTAATGAGCAGCTCAGTCACCTTGGCTGCCTCACAATGCCTTGCTGAGATGGATTCCACCTGGGCTGCTCACAAACCGCTTCCAGCCTGCAAGCCACACCCTGCGTGTCTATGCAGCTACAGCCTGCCAGCCGCACTTGGGTTACATGCTGGCTCTCCCCAGCCTGGATTATTAGAGCTACAGAGTGACTCTAAGACCCCCCGCTTCAGCATGTCCCTCAGCAGCGTAGGCCCTCTCCTGGACAATGCAAGTTGCAGTGTGTCTGTCCTTTCTTTAACAGAAATAATATGCACGCAACTTGCCACCCAAATGAAGTTTGCCAGACACTTACATTTAAACACACTGGCTACGTCTACACTGGCATGGTTTTCCGAAAATGCTTTTAATGGAAAAGTTTTCCGTTAAAAGCATTTTCGGAAAAATCGCGTCTAGATTGGCAGGACGCTTTTCCGTAAAAGGGCCAATCTAGACGCAGTTTTCTGCAAAAATGCCCCGATCGCCATTTCGCGATCGGGGCTTTTTTATGGAAAACAGTCTTGTGCTGTTTACGCTGGCTCTCTTGCGCAAATAATTTGCGCAAGAGGGCTTTTGCCCGAACAGGAGCAGCACGGTATTTCCGCAAGAACACTGACAATCTTACATGAGATCGTCAGTGTTCTTGCGGAAATTCAAATAGCCAGTGTAGACAGCTGGCAAGTTTTTCCACAAAATCAAATGATTTTGCGGAAAATCTTGCCAGTCTAGACACAGCCACTGAGTTAGTTAAAAGAGTAAAACAAGTTTAATTACCAAAAGAGGGATTTTAAGTGAGTGCAAGTCACGAGGAATAAAAATCAGAAATGGTTACAAGGAAAGTAAAGGCAGGACCTTTTCTAATACTGTACTTAACAAACTCTATCAGATTCAAGCAAAGTTTCTTACCATATATTTTCAGCAGTCTTGCAGCCAAACCCTGTAGGTCAGAATCCCTTCTCTCAGAATCCAACGAAGGTTTCCTTTTTTGCTTTGGGTGCTGTAAATGTGATGGGCACAAGAGGGCTTTTGCCCGAACAGGAGCAGCACGGTATTTCCGCAAGAACACTGACAATCTTACATGAGATCGTCAGTGTTCTTGCGGAAATTCAAATAGCCAGTGTAGACAGCTGGCAAGTTTTTCCACAAAATCAAATGATTTTGCGGAAAATCTTGCCAGTCTAGACACAGCCACTGAGTTAGTTAAAAGAGTAAAACAAGTTTAATTACCAAAAGAGGGATTTTAAGTGAGTGCAAGTCACGAGGAATAAAAATCAGAAATGGTTACAAGGAAAGTAAAGGCAGGACCTTTTCTAATACTGTACTTAACAAACTCTATCAGATTCAAGCAAAGTTTCTTACCATATATTTTCAGCAGTCTTGCAGCCAAACCCTGTAGGTCAGAATCCCTTCTCTCAGAATCCAACGAAGGTTTCCTTTTTTGCTTTGGGTGCTGTAAATGTGATGGGCAAGGGAAGTTTAAATGATTCCTAAAATTCTGTTCTTTTTTTATAGTTTGTTTCACTCTTGAAAACCATTTTCAGGGGACATCAGGACACAAAGAGTCTGCATGGAAGGATGTTCCCTGCTGCTTTTTCTTCTACTATTTGAGTTTCCTTTGCTTCCTTTCCTGCTTGTTGATTCTGTTTACTGCTTAAATACAAATGAAGCAGAGTGCACATGCCTTTGTTTAGGACAGATCTATTTGCGACCCTCCATTCGAAACGTGTTAATAGCACCACACCTGGAATTGTGTCATTTCACTTAGGGTGTGACTACACAGCAGCATTATTTCAGAATAACAATGTGAGCATCTACACAGCAATTCCGTTATTTCAAAATACACTTGCAATAATGGACGGCTTATTCCGACTTCAGTAAACGGCATTCCATGAAGAATAATGTCTATTCCAAAATAGCTCTAGTGTGGACGCTCCACGGCTGCTATTTTGAAACAGCTGCTCCCCAGGGCCGTTCAAAGTAATTACTCCCTAGTGCTTCCTGGGGTTCTAAATTGAGGTAGGGCGTCCATATTAGGAGCGCCTGCCTTGGACTCATTTCAAGGCTTCCCTGTAGTGTAGACGTGCTAGTTTGAAATAAGCTATTTCAGAGTATTTCTTCTGGAATAGCTGATTCCAAAATAAGTGTGCATTGTAGACGTAGCCTTACAGGGGGCCACACATATTTTATTAGGATGATATTGGTCAGATACCTCACCAGGAATGCTTTGTACACTGATTATTAGAATAGTGTGTTGTGTGTGAGCACGGGCGTATGTTGTTCTGTCAGTCGAATTCTAGTCTTGCTGTCAGCATTGAGGCCACTGGCTGTGTGTCTGTGCCAGGCCCTTTCTCCCCCCGGGCCTGGGAGGATAGTAGGACACTAACCCCCTTGCCCTAAATCCCCCTGAAAATCATCTGCCAGGTCACAGGGGCAGGATCACACTGTCTAGGGTCCTTGCCTAAAGCAAATCAAACTCCAGCTCAAGCCTCCACCCAGGTCTAGGCTCTGGGGAATCAAAATAACCTCTCCTGGCTCTCCTTACCGGGGGCTCTCCCCCTCCTTAGCACTCTTGGAACAGGAGCTTTTCCTTTGGGGAAATCAGTCCAAAGAGCCACGACAGCCCCAGGTATAGACCCTGAGCCACCTAAGTCAGTGCCCCAGGTGTCCGGCTGGCCCCAGGCGGAAGCTGCCTGATCAGAGATCAAGGACAGCATGGACTTGTCTTCCCAGCGATGCTAACTTGAGTTCCCTGCAGCGTCGCCCGTCACTGGCCTCCCCTGCAGACACAAACCCCTTCACTCAAGGGCTGACCCCCGGGAGCTCCAGTTAGCAGCTGTGAGCAGTGTGGACGCAGGCTGGCCCCACCTAAACTAACATGAGAAAGTTAAGGGGCTGAGTCTGTTTAATCATTTAAATGCCTGTTTTCCTTTCTTACTGGTTAAACTAAACCAGTCTCCCTAGGTGCAGCACTAGCAAAATAACTGGGGCGTAATTCTGGAATTAACGGGGAGTTTCCATTAGCAGCTGGTGGTCCACGGAAAGGTTTGCACTGAGCCAGGTGGGCCATGGGCCAAAAGTTTGAGAACCGCTGTGTTAGGGGGATGGGAGAGTGCTGGGTTGTGGGGCATGGGGCTGGTGGCGGCTCCCCCCACCTGCAAGGAGCCACCCGGTCCCCACCCCACTCACCCAGGCTGGTCTTGCTGAGCAGGTAGAGCAGCAGCAGGCAAAGGTGGCTGTGGGAGCAGGGGGCCATGGCAGCCGCGCTGCCCACCATGATCCCGGAAGGTAATTGCTATAAAACCTTTATTCCTGTTCACATTTTTAGCATCTTATAACAAAATCATTTCACCACTCACTGTTTCCATTCACATTTTTCGTTAACATCTCTTGTGCGCACTCAGTGCATGGCTATTTTGAACTCTTTTATATTTAAAATAATTGTGGTCCACATTTACAAAAAAGACACACACACTCCAGACATTCATGCGTACAGGCCTGCAAAGCCACCGTAATAGAAGTAGACCCAAAATGAAGAGAACTAAAAAGGGCACCATGGCTGAATCAAATAAAAGAAGCGGTGAGAGATACAAAGGCATTGTTTTAAAAGTGGAAGTTAAATCCTAATGTGGAGAATAGAAAGGAACATAAACTCCAATGAATGAAGTGTAAACATACAATTAGGAAGGTCAAAAAGAATTTGAAAAACAGCTAGCAAAAACTTCAAAAAGTAATAGTAAATTGTTTTAAGTACATCAGGAAGCAGGAAGCCTGCTAACCAACCAGAGGGATTGCAGGATGATCGAGATGCCAAATGAGCACTCAGAGATGATAAGGCCATTGGAGAGAAAGTAAATGAATTCTTGGCATTGATCTTCATAGCTGACAATATGAGGGAAACTCCCCAATGTGAGCCATTCTTTTTAAGGTGACAAATATGAGGAACTGTCACAGATTGAGGTGATTTTGAATCAAATTGATAAACTAAACAGTAGTAAGTCACTGGGACCAGATAGAATTCACCCAAGAACTCAAATGTGAAACTGTAAAACCACTAACTGGTTTGTAACCTGTTCTTTCTCCAACAAATTATGTTCATCTATGTCTGACAATTCTGTTCATTACTATAGTTTCTACCAGTTTGTCCAGCACTGAAGTTAGACTTCCCAACCTGTAATTGCCAGGATCATCTCTAGACTAATGGTATCATATTAGCTATCTTCCAGTCGTTTGGTACAGAAACTGATTTGGGGTATGTCTACACTTGCAGCCTATTTCGGAATAGGGCTGCAAATGTAGGCATTCGGAATTGCAAATCAAGCCCGGGATTTAAATATCCCGGGCTTGATTTGCATCTTCCCGGCCGGGCACCATTTTTAAAATTTACAAGCCCGGAATAACTGCCCACGTCTACACTCATTGCAGGAGGAATAACAGGTAGTTTGAAATAGGGCTTTATTTTGAACGCCCATTTCACTGCCGTGTGTAGACTTGGGCAGTTATTCCGGGCTTGTAAATTTCAAAAATGGCGCCCGGACAGGAAGATGCAAATCAAGCCCGGGATATTTAAATCCCGGGCTTGATTTGCAATTCCGAATGCCTACATTTGCAGCCCTATTCCGAAATAGGCTGCAAGTGTAGACATACCCCAAATCAGTTTCTGTACCAAACGACTGGAAGATAGCTAATATGATACCATTAGTCTAGAGATGATCCTGGCAATTACAGGTTGGGAAGTCTAACTTCAGTGCTGGACAAACTGGTAGAAACTATAGTAATGAACAGAATTGTCAGACATAGATGAACATAATTTGTTGGAGAAGAGTCAACATGGTTTCTGTAAAGGGAAATCCTGCCTCAGCAATCTACTACAATTCTTTGAAGGGGTCAACAAACACACAGACAAGGGAGACCCAGTGGATATAGGGTCCTTAGATTTCCAGAAAGTCTTTGACAAGGTCCTTCACCAAAGGCTCCTAAGTAAAGTAAGTTGTCATGGGATAAGAGGGAAGGTCCTTTCGTGAATTGATAACTGGTTAAAAGAAAGGAAACAAAGGGTAGGAATAATGAAATTTAAAAAACGGGTGCTCCTGTGGCATCGAACAGACTAGCAAAGACTATAGATGGTATCATGAGCTTTCGTGGGCACAACCCACTTCTACTGAGGAGCGGCGCAAGAGGTAGGAATAATGGTCAGTTTTCAGAATGGAGAGAAGTAACTAGTGGTGTCCCCCAGGGCTCCGTACTGGGACCAGTCCTTTTTAACATATTCATAAATAATGTAGAGACAAAATCTGCAGACCTGAGGCCTGGGAGCAGCGCCTGGAGACAGCCCCCGCGGGGCCACAAGGACGTGCTGCCCAGAGTGAGCAGCCAGGAGCTGCTTTAGCCCTGCTGCGCTGCCGGTGCTAGCAGCAGGGGTCTCCAGGGCATTTTAAATCACGCAGGGGCAGCAGGCGGGGCCAGAGGAAGCTTGGGGGAGCCTGTGTAGACCCCCAGCCCTCCTGGAGCTGCTTTCCAGAAGAAGGTGTCCTACTAAAGAGCAGCGCCCCCACCCTCACCCCCTTGCACACCCCACTGCCTTCCAGAGCCTACACCCTCACCCCCAGGCTCTTCTGCCCCCCTCCCCCCAACCTCTCTCCCAGAGCCTGCACCCCCTCCTGTACCCCAATCCCCTGCCCCAGCCCAGTCTGCACCTAGACCCCCTTCTGCACCCAAACTCTCTCCCAGAGCCTGCACCCCCTCCTGTACCCCAATCCCCTGCCCCAGCCCAGTCTGCACCTAGACCCCCTTCTGCACCCAAACTCTCTCCCAGAGCCTGCACCCCCTCCTGTACCCCAATCCCCTGCCCCAGCCCAGTCTGCACCTAGACCCCCTTCTGCACCCAAACTCTCTCCCAGAGCCTGCACCCCCTCCTGTACCCCAACCCCCTGCCCCAGCCCAGTCTGCACCTAGACCCCCTTCTGCACCCAAACTCTCTCCCAGAGCCTGCACCCCCTCCTGTACCCCAACCCCCTGCCCCAGCCCAGTCTGCACCTAGACCCCCTTCTGCACCCAAACTCTCTCCCAGAGCCTGCACCCCCTCCTGTACCCCAACCCCCTGCCCCAGCCCAGTCTGCACCTAGACCCCCTTCTGCACCCAAACTCTCTCCCAGAGCCTGCACCCCCTCCTGTACCCCAACCCCCTGCCCCAGCCCAGTCTGCACCTAGACCCCCTTCTGCACCCAAACTCTCTCCCAGAGCCTGCACCCCCTCCTGTACCCCAACCCCCTGCCCCAGCCCAGTCTGCACCTAGACCCCCTTCTGCACCCAAACTCTCTCCCAGAGCCTGCACCCCCTCCTGTACCCCAACCCCCTGCCCCAGCCCAGTCTGCACCTAGACCCCCTTCTGCACCCAAACTCTCTCCCAGAGCCTGCACCCCCTCCTGTACCCCAACCCCCTGCCCCAGCCCAGTCTGCACCTAGACCCCCTTCTGCACCCAAACTCTCTCCCAGAGCCTGCACCCCCTCCTGTACCCCAACCCCCTGCCCCAGCCCAGTCTGCACCTAGACCCCCTTCTGCACCCAAACTCTCTCCCAGAGCCTGCATACACTCCTGCACCCTAATACCCTATCCCAGCTCAGAGCCTGCACCTAGCACAGAAACTCCCCCCAAAGCCTGCACTCCTCCCCCACCCAAAGCCTTAGGAAGGTGGGGAGGGGAGTTGGGTGAGGTGGGGTGTGGGCTCTGGGAATTCTGGGCACCACCAACATTTCTGCAAATCTGCCATCTCTCACTGGGCAACAAAATGGCAGATGAAAATGTTCTTAAATGCAAAATAATGCACATTGGAAAACACAACCCCACTCTCCATATAGAATGAAGGGGAATACACTAGCTGCTACCACTCGAGAGAGATCTGGGAGTCACTGTGGATAGTTCTCTGAAAAAGTGCACTCCCTGTGAAGCAGCAGTGAAAAAAGCAAACAGAATTTTGGGATAGCGAATAAAACAGAGAATATCTTACTGCCTCTGTATAAATTGGGGGGACAAAGGATCCAGGATGGGGATGAGGGATTGGGCTGGGGAAGATGGATTTGGCAGGGTGGGGGGAACAGGAGGGGGAACAAGAGATCAGAGGTCAAGGGGAGGAAGGATCCGGGGTGATGACAAGGAATCGGGGCAGGGGAGATGAAGGATCAAGGGTCGGGGGAGGATGAAGGATCCAGGCACGGACAAGGGATTAGGAGTGGGGAAGATGAAAGATCTGGGGTGGAGACGAGGGATCGGCTGGAGGGTTCAGCTGCCTAACTCCCACTGCCAGCCTGTTGGTAGGACCCCGGTGACAGGCTCCTGACTCTGCCCTGCTGCTGGCCCCGGGCTATGGGATGGGCAGCTGCAGGCAGCGCTCTCGTGGTGGCCCTATGGGGAGCAGGCTGGTGGCAGCCTGGGGAGCGTCCTGGCTCTCAGCTCAGACAGGCGCTGGCTGTGCTGCCCGGTCAGTGGCTCTGCTTTCTGCCTAGGCGGTTGCTGGTTCGGGATCGGCCGGGAACAGGCATCTCCTGGGCCTTGAGGCAGAAGGAAGAGGCCAGAGCGGCCAATGGCTGAGGGGAGCCTGCCCATCGGCACCCTGGGAGAAGCTGCCTTGGCCAGGCTCAGTGAGCTCCTGGACAACTGCAGTCGGGGCTGGAGGAAACTGGCTGAAATCGCCGGCGCCGAGAAACGCTTCAAATGCAGGTGGAGGAAGCAGGGGGCACAACAGGGCTGGGGCACCGATGTGGGCGGCGCGGCCACAGGCAGCCCAGCAGCGCCACAGCCTTGCCAGTTCACCTGCCCCAGTTACGTGCAGATATGGCTGGGAAGGGTGTGTGAGTGTGTGTGTGTGTGTGAGTGTGTGTGTGAGTGTGTGTGTGTGTGTGAGTGTGAGTGTGTGAGTGTGTGTGTGTGTGTGTGTGTGTGTGTGTTTGCACATCCGCGGGGGTGATGGAGATGCTGTTTCTGGTATGATTGTGCATTTGCGAGGGGGCAGAGGTGTCATCATTGCAGTGTACGCTGTGGTGTGCAGTGTGTGGATAAAGTGTGTGTTATCCCTGGGAAGGGGGATAGGCTGTGGTGTGTGTCCATGTGTGTGAGAGCTGTCTCTGTGTAGGCCCTGAGTGTGTGCGTGTGTACAGATGTCCAAGGACAGGGGGTGTGTGTGTATGTGCAGTCCCAGTGTAAGCTTTGTGTGTGTGTAGGCCGTGGCATCCCAGTGGAAGCTATGGGGCGTGTCTTGTCCCAGTGGAAGCTGAGAGAGATGTAGAACTCTAGAAATATCAGACCAGAAGGGACCCGAAGAGACCAACAAGTCCATCCCACAGCACTGAGACACCCTACACCCCACAGGCTCTGTGCTGTCCCAGTACAAGCTCTGGGGTGTCTGCAGGGTGTGTGCTGTCCCAGTGCAGTCTGTGGGGTGTCAGAACGATGTGTGTTATCCAATTGTAGTCTGTGGGGTATCTGTCGGGTGTCTGTTGTCCCAGTGCAGTCTGTGGGGTGTCGGTAGGGTGTATGTTGTCCCAGTGCAGTCTGTGGGGTGTCGGTAGGGTGTATGTTGTCCCAGTGCAGTCTGTGGGGTGTCGGTAGGGTGTATGTTGTCCCAGTGCAGTCTGTGGGGTGTCGGTAGGGTGTATGTTGTCCCAGTGCAGTCTGTGGGGTGTCGGTAGGGTGTATGTTGTCCCAGTGCAGTCTGTGGGGTGTCGGTAGGGTGTATGTTGTCCCAGTGCAGTCTGTGGGGTGTCGGTAGGGTGTATGTTGTCCCAGTGCAGTCTGTGGGGTGTCGGTAGGGTGTATGTTGTCCCAGTGCAGTCTGTGGGGTGTCGGTAGGGTGTATGTTGTCCCAGTGCAGTCTGTGGGGTGTCGGTAGGGTGTATGTTGTCCCAGTGCAGTCTGTGGGGTGTCGGTAGGGTGTATGTTGTCCCAGTGCAGTCTGTGGGGTGTCGGTAGGGTGTATGTTGTCCCAGTGCAGTCTGTGGGGTGTCGGTAGGGTGTATGTTGTCCCAGTGCAGTCTGTGGGGTGTCGGTAGGGTGTATGTTGTCCCAGTGCAGTCTGTGGGGTGTCGGTAGGGTGTATGTTGTCCCAGTGCAGTCTGTGGGGTGTCGGTAGGGTGTATGTTGTCCCAGTGCAGTCTGTGGGGTGTCGGTAGGGTGTATGTTGTCCCAGTGCAGTCTGTGGGGTGTCGGTAGGGTGTATGTTGTCCCAGTGCAGTCTGTGGGGTGTCGGTAGGGTGTATGTTGTCCCAGTGCAGTCTGTGGGGTGTCGGTAGGGTGTATGTTGTCCCAGTGCAGTCTGTGGGGTGTCGGTAGGGTGTATGTTGTCCCAGTGCAGTCTGTGGGGTGTCGGTAGGGTGTATGTTGTCCCAGTGCAGTCTGTGGGGTGTCGGTAGGGTGTATGTTGTCCCAGTGCAGTCTGTGGGGTGTCGGTAGGGTGTATGTTGTCCCAGTGCAGTCTGTGGGGTGTCGGTAGGGTGTATGTTGTCCCAGTGCAGTCTGTGGGGTGTCGGTAGGGTGTATGTTGTCCCAGTGCAGTCTGTGGGGTGTCGGTAGGGTGTATGTTGTCCCAGTGCAGTCTGTGGGGTGTCGGTAGGGTGTATGTTGTCCCAGTGCAGTCTGTGGGGTGTCGGTAGGGTGTATGTTGTCCCAGTGCAGCCTGTGGGTTGTCTGTAGGGGGTGTGCTGTCCCAGTATAGACTCTTGTGGGTGTTGCAGATCTGCATGTGGGTTGATTGCACATCCTGGAAGCGCTTTGAGGTGAGGATCTCTGTGGTGCTTGCCTCCTTTCCCCTGAGCTATGGGGCACCCCCGCAGACACCACTGGATACTCGGGGGCGCCTGACGCCGCAATGCCTGATGGGAGCTGTAGTCTCTATGAGCTGCATTCTCACATTCAGGATTCATCCTTCTTCTTCGGGTGTGTTGGCCACGTGAGCCCGGCACTGGGCAGTCGCTTTGCTGCTCCCAGGCAGGCTCTTGTAGGGCAGAGCTTGGCCCCATCTTAGACCCGTAGAAAAGCCTGAGCCCACTTTCTGTCTGCGGTTCCCACTCTGTCCTGTGGCTGCAGCCGGGTTCCGCGGGGAACGCTGGGGCTCGAGGCTCACCGAGGGCCTGCCAAACAAGTGACAGATACTGTCAGCCCAGCAAGCCCCACTCTGCAGGTCTGGCTTCAATGCCCTGCTGGCCAGCCCACGGCTCGGCTGAGCGGCAGGTGCTGTGGCAGGGTCTCAGCACTCGCCCACCCCAGCCAGATCCAAACGCCGGCGCTCAGAGATGCTCCTTCCAGTCCCGTCTCTGCCCCTCACCCCATGAAAGGCCCCCGCCGTGCCCTG